ACTTTATAGCTAAGCAATTTCTATTGGTGAAAACTTTTTCATATTTCAAACTTTTAATTTTTGAAAATTCAAGTTTGTGGCGAGGAATCAGTTTAATTGTTGATTTAATTTGATGGAATTGCTTAAGAACATTATTGTTAAACCCTAGAGATATCTCTACTATAACCCTAGAGATATCTCTACTATATCTCTACTATAACCCAAAATAAAGTCGTCAATTCAAAAACCTTTGCGAGAATTGTGCAATCTGCTTTCTTTTCTTTTATCATGGGCTTTCCACCTTGATTTCCCCCTTTCTCCTATCTCCCCACTTCTCCATCCCCTCCCCCCCCCTCAGTTATTTTTCCTCTCACATCTCCCGTTCTTTCCGAACCTTCCTTCAGTCTTTGACCCCTCTTTCCTACACCCCCCTTTTCGTCATTCCCCACTTTCCTATTAATTTCTACTGACTTTCCCTTTACACCCTTTCCACCTATTTCCCAATTCTCGCCCTTTCCTCCCCCCTTCTCCTCCCCCCCCCCCCCGTTGCTTGGTTCCCCATGGTTATCTTCCACGATCTTTACCTATTACATGAAGGGCATCTGATATGCAACCACATGAGCCGAGAGACTCAAACTTTTGATATTTAAAACCCAAGAAACCAGGTTAATTTTGTTGTTGAATTATTGCATGTATGATTTTTTCCCTTAAACACCATAAAAGATTTTAAAATTCAATTTTGTGATACTACTGAAGAAAACTGAGTTTCAAAAAGTTTTCTTTATAAGTTTCCGACTCTGCCTGTATATTCCATTAATCTGCAAATTTATTATCAGTAGCTAGGTTTCATAATCCTTATCCTTAACATCTTTAATCTTAGCCCAGTACCCACTGCACAGGGTATTTCATAAGGGTTCAGAATAAACTCAAAACAATAGATAAATTGTATTGCATCATTTGACCAGGCGTAAAGCTATGAACGTAATGCTCTCGTATAATATTTTGTTGAATTTACAATTAATAGAAAAGATAAAGTAATATAAACCAGCCAAAGGGACACGGTAAACTAGAGGTTCTGGTTGAATGTCCAGTGAATCTTAAAGGGACTAAAAAGGAAAAATGAAATGGGGTATAGGCTGAACCCTGAGCATTTTAGGAGTTGATCGATTATGCAGTGTAAACATTCCCATTTCACTTAATCATTGATGAAACAATTACTACATAGTAAAGCTATTTGCTTTGCAACAACATCAAATGTACTTCAGTATTGCTCTAAAGTCGTCTTCCTATTCTGCAGCTTTCTGGTTATTATGCTGTCCAACCAATTAATTAATAATTTATCACATTTATTCAATTCCCATTCTCCTTTTTCACCAACATTCCTTGACAATATAATCCTATTTTGGTAATCCTAAATCTTATAATCAGTTAGTTTATGTCGTCTCCGGGGTTTCCAGTAATATCGGGTATCTTCTCTGAAATCTTATAATCAGTTAGTTTATGTCGTTTCCGGGGTTTCCAGTAATATCGGGTATCTTCTCTGAAATGCATAAAAGGGAAAAAACAAAACAAAAGTAATATATATGCTAGTTATTATGAATAACAAGAAAAAGATTAAGCTTATTAGAGAAAGCAGTTTTAGAGGTATTCGTTCTAGACGGCTTCTAAAGAAATGACCTTATCTTTAAGAATTGAATCTTTTTCCTAAAAAATCGTCCCTCTTAACAGAGGGGGGGGGGGGTTTCTGATTAAAAAGTCACAAAAAAGATCCAATCGTCAATATCAACGTTTTTTTACCCTTTTATTTTCCAGGTCATTCATATATCACGATAACTTTTAAATTGTTTAAACAATCGAGTATTAGATAGGGTTTCCAGCGATAAAGGAAAATCGTTTTGCAAAAAAAAAATTTTCGCCGAAAATTTCGTATTTTTTCGCATTTCGTTTTCGCGAAATTTCGCTTCAATCTGTTTCGCGAAAAAATGCTAAAAATAATGCGAAAATTTCACGAAAAAAATAAGGCAAAATTTTGCGAAAAAGTTTGCGAAATATGAACGAAAATGTTTGCATTTTTTCGCGAAACGTTTCGTTCACTGGAACCATAGTTTCAGATCGTCCGTAAAGGGACTGTACGTGCAATTTCATGTGACCCTCCTTGTAAAGATGGCAATGTTCGATATCCAACGGAACCCTTAAAAGATTTGTCTGATCAAGTATGAATCAGACATCAATGTTATTGTTTATTTAAACTGTTTATTTTCATTTGCAATTTCTCTGCGAAAGTGCCTTGCGCAACAATGCGCATTTCTTGCTTTACAGAACAGACAAATAAATCTTCGTATTAGATCACCGTTTGCATAGAGGATCACTTGAAACTACGCTTACAGTCCCTTAGAAGTCTCATCCTTTGTGTGTAACGCTGTATAAAGGTAGTAAAATATCCTGAAAGGTTTTGTTAACTCCAACGTGTGAAAAATGTTAAATTACTGATCTCAGTGTTAACCTGGTGTGTACCTGCCAGCTAGTCTATCTTAATCAGGGATACAGGGGGATACAGTTCATGGGAGATGCAGGGGATACAGTTCATGGGAGATACAGGGGGATACAATTCATGGGAGATACAGGGGGATACAGTTCATGGGAGATACAGTGGGATACAGTTCATGGGAGATACAGGGGGGTACAGTTCATGGGAGATACAGGGGGATACAGTTCATGGGAGGATACAGGAGGCTACTGTTCATGGGAGATACAGGGGGGTACAGTTCATGTGAGATAAAGGGGGATACAGTTCATGGGAGATACAGGGGGATACAGTTCATGGGAAATACAGGGGGATCCAGGAAACCGTAGGTGATAGAGGGGTATCCAGAAAACATAGGAGATACAGGGGGATCCAGGAAATCGTAAGAGATACAGGGGATCCAGGAAATCGTAGGAGATACCAGGGGATATAGGAAACCGAAGGAGATACAGAGGGTCCAGAAAAACCATAGGAGATACAAGGGGGGTTCCAGGAAACCGTTGGAGATACAGGGGAGTCAGGAAACATCCTTCTTGTGCAGGAATAATAATTACACATAGAAGGGTTACAATCACACCTATATCAATCATAGAAAGATCTCAGGAGCTTGAGACAGATAACGTCTTGTTTTTTCAAGACACATGGAACCTCACTCCATATTATCAATAAAAGCACCATACCCCTTTGCTCTAACTAAAGCCTTGATTTGGAAGCTGGGTCTGTATAATACAGGTCACTTTTCTACTAAACAATTAGACAACGCCCAAGGACATTTTCTTAAGGTCTTACAGAGCTTAGGTTGGAAACCTAGGCCTGCTATATGTACTGAATCTAGATTATATAGGGGAGTTAACTTTTAGTTACTTTTAACATGGTTATTTGGCTGAGTTTACAGTTTTAACTCCAGAATTTTCATTCCTTTTAATAAAATTCTTAAACTTTACTATTTAACTCTGAGAGTTACTTTTTAAATTTGAGATTTTCTATTTACCTCTGAGAGTTTATTGTTTAACTTAAAGAGTTTACTATTTAACTTTGAGAGTTTATCGTTTAACTCTTAGATTTTACTACTAAACTCTGATGGTTTACTATCTAACTTTGAGAGTTTACTATTTAACACTGAGAGTTTATCGTTTAACTCTAAAACTCTGAGAATTTACTATTCAATTCTGAGAGTTAAATATTAACTTCTGTGAGAGTTTACTATTTAACTTTGAGAGTTTACTATTTAACTTTGAGAGTTTATTTATTATTTTACTTTGAAAACATTACTCACATTGTGACATTTTTTCTGAAACCTCAATCCTACAACTTACTACACGCTTGCACGACCCCCTCCTANGTAATAATATTGTATTTTTTACACTAAGTCCTCTTGAAGACTAAATATTTTAGATATAATAAATGTAAAATTATCACAAATGCTCCCAAAAATTAAGTTTTTATTATTATATCTCTAGTAGGTTTCTATTATAACTGTAAGAGTAATGTATTAAACTCCAGGACCGGAGTATAGCTATTAGCTAGGGTGTGTATCTGTATGGGGTTAAATGCTAATTAGCATGTCATGAATTTTAAGCAAACACTTTCCCTTTCGCTGGATTACTTAGCCTAGCTTATCTACTCGATAAAGGGACTGTTCACGTAATAGAAAGTGAGTCTTCAATTAAAAAGTTGTATGCCCGATCAACAATGATATCATTTAAACTAATATTTCAGTCATAATGAAGAAGATATAATTGTGTTCTTGTTTCAGCAACTATTCTGAAAATGACCTGCTTTGTATCAGCTGCATAAATCTGCAACCACAATTGGAAATTAACATTTTTCTGTAGAAAAACAACAATATATTCATCTGAGTTCCGTTGTAAATTAATAGAGGGTTCCTTGAAAGATCTGCCTTTATAATGATTATTTTAATTGAGGTCAGATGCAATTATTTAGATGTTCATGGTAATCTTTGGTTCTACACTTTATACCATTGAAATAAAAAAATTCACCTCGATATGATTAGAAAATATTTTTTTATCAAATGTAACATTTTTCCAAAAGAGTTTTTCTTTTCATTGACAAATTATCAAGTTGGAAACTTTAGAAACCTAAAGAATAGTTTTTTACCCAAACCTGCTTGAATCGGAAATTTTCAGTAGATATTAATAATGTTCTTAATTTTGAAATCTGATTTCAAATGAGTCAAATACCTATCCATCTATCTATCTATCTATCTACCAATCTATCTATCCATCTATCTATCTATCTATCCATTTATCTATCCGCCTATATGTCTATAATCTATATATATCCGTCTATCTAACTATCTATCTATCTATCTATCTATTTGTCTATCTAGAATCTAGAGTAATCTTTGCAAAACATTTCCGTGAGATCCTTGAAAGGTCTTGAGACACATTTATAGAAGCTAATTAGTTAATTAATTAATTAATTAATTAATTAGTTAATTAAGTCATAAATGTATAAAAGTGCAAATTTTGTAAAATATAGGAACATTTATTTATTGAAGAAACATAATTTAAAAAATCTAAAGGCACAAGGCCCGTGACAAAGTAATAGTTTTATACAAGTTTTTTCTTCAGTTTTCTTCGTGCTTTTTCTTCTCATATTTTTGGTAGCTTTCGAATGGTACTTTTCATAATAGAAACTCGAATGTCTAAGATGAGATGAGTATTGAGTAGTGGTATAATTTTACACGCTTGTAGTTGCACAAGTTTTTACCGCAAGAATTGGCACTATTTTAAACACTTGTCATAATCTTGACTTGATTGAGTTTGATCGACGGACAACAGAATCTTTATAATTACAATCACAAGCCTTCTCTATATATATCTCGGACGGGTTGCGAACAGACGATCGTCGACGAGTTGTCTCTGTCTGGGGTGGTTCGTCCTCAAAATCACAGAAAACAGATTCCGGATAGTCCTCAAATTTGTAACTGACAAAATGATCGTTAAAATCGTCCTGATCAGAGAAATCACTTGATCCATACTCGTCCTCAGTAGATAAATTGTATCCTGTATCGTCCATCTGATCCAGGAGCGAGGACGAATCAGGGGTTGGACTTGAAAGGACGAAATCCTGGTCCTGGCTAAGCAGTGAGAGCTCCTGGTCAATATTAACCCCTGAGTCATGGGATACATCGCTGAACCCGTCATTCTGCTCCACGTCCTTATTCATCCTTCTCTTCTCTTCTCTCAATCCAAACACCAGTTCTCCGAAAACAAACTCCGGACCTAGATCTACTCCGTCCTGGAGCTGTGGTGTGAGGTCCACCTGGAGCCTAGGACAGGGTTCAGGAGTAGATATTCTTACTTCCTCCTCTTTCCAGCTTCCTGTACTACGCCTCCTGGTCAACTAAACAGGGGTAATAATTAATAAAAAACGAAAGATTTTAGGCTTTTAGGGCGCTTCGTGCCACATTTTCCTACTCATTGTTTTTAACTTGGCTTAGAGAACTAGAGTTCAAAGCTTAAATTGCTAGTACGTGAAAAGGGTGCTTTAAAGCCTAGTAATGATAATACAAATAAAAGCAACAATAATGATAAAACTAAAATGTCAAATCAATGGATTCTGTTCTGGGAAATATTCAAAAAGATGATAATTTCCATAACCTATAATCATAATGTCAAATTCTAAGAAAAGCTCTGTATTTGTTTGATAAAATAAATACTGCAAGCTTATTCAAAGTCATCTTATTCAAAGAAGTAAAAGCTCACCAAAAAAATATAATTTTCTAATTTCTAAATCTTTGCAATCGGAAGTTATAGACCTTTTATATTGGAAATGGTGAATTCTGTTAGATCAAAATAGACTAAGTTTGCAATATCAATTATAAGAAAAGAAAATTAGGAGTTTGTGGCGGGTTTCAGTTTCTTCAACTACAATTAGAAGGTTCTGAATCTGGAGAAGGAAAATGCAAAAATTCTAATTATATTTTTGTGTCTCATTTTACTCATCTTATTCCAACAAATGTTAAATAAATGATAGTTTGAAATAATTACTTTTGGCATAAAATTCTTAATTAACACTCAGATCATACTTTTCATGTAATAACATGCTGATCTTTTAAAACATTAATTAATAATGAATAAATTTTGATTCGACTAAAAGGACAAATATTAAGATCCGGTACGTATCCATATATGAATTCTAAGAGTCTAATATAATGTCCAGTAAAAGGGTCTCAAATTGTCATCATGCCTAAATTTTAATCCACGAAAAGGATACAGTCATTTAGGACCAAGTTACAAGAGAAGGGGGGAGGGATGAGTTCTGGGGTGGGGTAATGGGAATGCTAGGGGGTTGGTCTAGTTACTACAGGAGGGGGGGATGAGTTCTGGGGTGGGGTAGATAATGGGAATGCTTGGGGGTTGGTCTAGTTACTACAGGGCCCGAGGGTATGAAATTCACCTGTGTTTTCTCATGGCTAAACGAAAGCAAGGACAGAGAAAACCATTACATATTAGATTCTCAGTAAAAGTTTTTTCTTATTCGGACATTTTTAGGATTTGAATATTTTTTATACCATAATTTAAAGAAGAATGTATGTAGTCTAATGCCACAATGATTGAATTTTTTAAAAACAAATAAATATTGTATTTTATAAAAAAGAACAAAAAATAAGAATATAAGGAGACTAAAATGATTATTACGAAAAAAGCGATTGAAATCCATGAAAGCTTTAAAAAAATTAATCTGTATGGTAGAAAAATGTTGTTTTTTAAGAAATAAGAGATTTAAATTAAATGAAAAATCTAATAAAAGCCTTTCAGAATCTAGTGCTTAAGAAGCAAATATTGGAAACCAAAGGTAAAAATATTTCAGTCTTAAGTTGCAACAAAAAAAAGCTTGGTATATTCCTAGTATACGATTTTTGGACCACCAAAAATCGTATACTAGGACAGACCCAAAAGCTTAAAGAAAAATTGATTGAACAATAATAAATAATGCATGGTAGAAAAATCAGGGAAAGCTAAAAAATGTTTCTTAAAATGCTACCTTTTGCTTAAAGCTGTGCTCCAAGATTTTTCTAAAAGAGAGATGTCTAACAATCCTATCCTCTCCCTTAGCCATTACTTAACAGGATGGAGCAAATATGCTCTTTGAGCGAAAAAAGACAGGGAGCGCTCTATATCACGACTTCCCCCTTGGAAGACAAATCTAAGACTGAATTCAAATCTAAATGAGTCAGTCAAGAGGGTGCTGAGATGAGGTAAGAGGGTTGAGTACCGGCACGGTTTTCTTGTCGGCCAATCAGCACGACGGTTCGGGTTAAACACTCAGTCGGGCCGGGTCAGCAAAGAGAGACGCTTGGCGTCCGTACTGTCCTGACCTTCTGCCCAAAAAAGGATGAACTTCAACCGGCTCAATACACTGCATTGACAAATGGTTTAAAAATCAAAGAAAATGACCAGGCAAAATAAAATCGACAAATCATTGGAAATCTACACTTTTACTTTTCTATCCCGACTAAATAATTCAATCCAGGGTTATAAAATGTACAAATTATTGCACGTAGACAGGCTTCGTAACTGGGTGTTTCTATAAAGGGGGGGGGGGCGCATGCCGAGTAAAACAAAGTGCCCCCCCCCCCGCGTAGAAAAAATTAGATTTTCAGTTTATAAAAATTAACAATTTCGTCTTAAAGGAATTGAGTTTTTGTCACAAACTTTTATTTTCTAATCCCTATATTTTTTAAACGTAATGGTATAAACCTTTGACATCTTTGATCTAACAGAATTCATAGTTTGAAATATCTCAGGTCTACTACATTGGATTGCAAAGATATTGGGATTATTAAATCAGAGTTTGTGGCTGAGACTCAACTCCTTTGTGAAATTATACGAAGATTCACACTTTAAAGTTAATCTTTTTCATTGCTCAATTGTATATCATTGAACCGTCATCAATATTCAAATTTTAAATAAACAATGATATCTAGAAAGAAATTAATCTTTATTTATAACATGATATAATAATAAAAATCTAATCTAAGATTTGCAAAATGAAACAGGGTAGATATTGTTGTTAAATAATTGGTGAAAGAAGGAGCAACTTGCCAGTATGTATTGTATGTATTGTATGTATTGTGTGTATTGTATGTATTGTATGTATTGATTTTATTGAACCTCTAAAATGTTTAAAAAGTGTCCTATTCGTATCATATGTTTCATGGAACTATATCGGCCTAATTTCAGGTGACCCTTTATGTTAAAACAGAATTCTTTTATTTTTGTTTGAGAAAATTTTCATTTTTTCTAGCAAAGAATTTTCAACTGCAGTTATCTATTGAAGTCACAAGCAGATTTTTGCAGCAGAGACAAGGAAACAATACGTCTAATATCTACATGGCTGTGAGTAATTTTATTTCTCATTCTCAGTTCATCAAATTCCAAACATTGTTTGGCTATTTTCGATTTCCACCAGGGGGGGCGCCACCCCTGTAGGAACACAAAGGAGGGCGTGCGCCCTGGTGCCCCCCTCAGTTACGACCCCTTGCACGTAGATTAACTGCGCAAGTGTATTGAATGTTAAGATTTTTTTCAACCCCCCCCCCAAAAAAAAAAATCTTCCGATTTTTGGTCTTCTTGGAAATACTTTATATCCAAACTAGATTTTTTTCGCATATTACTATACATTGTTTACATGTACATTGTTACAATGAAAATAAGTCCGGAATCAGGCAATTTAAGTTGGTTTGAGTTGGTAACCATATCTTTATAAATGATAATGATTAGTTCCGACACAAATATAGACAGGGAACAATCCCTTTAAAGAGAAAAAGTTAGAAATCCTATTTTAAATATGGATCTTGAAAGAGCACGCGGTTTCCTGTGCTATTTATTAGGCTCTAACTTTGCACCGTGCACCTTGCAAACTCAAGAGATAGGTCCGGGGGAGGGAGAAGGGTGTGGGTGGATGAATATACACATGTTTACAGGTTAGTGTTAAACAGGAAGCATCTTCCTGTAATACTATACTTTGTATCCCTCCCCCCTCACCCACCTTCCTCCTCTCCAAAACAAAAGTTTTCAAAAATATAAAATATTCCAATCCTCCCCCCCTTATGCTCTTTTTTTGTTCTGAAAATTCTAAACACATATTTGTTTTTGATATTATTAATAACTCTTCTTAATTAAAATTCCTTAGAATATCCCCTTGACCCAAATACCCCCATTTTATCCATTCTATCGTCCTACCCCCAACCCCCATCCAGTATCAAATACACAGTGTAGTAAATAATTAAACTATTTAACGCTTGTTAGTTTATTCGAGCGTGTTAATCAAGATTTCATTCTCTCCTCTCACTTTATACTCTACTTAATCAATCCTTTATTTCTTATACTTACTTTCACTTTCCTTTCCTTTCATTTCATATACTTACTTTCACTTTCATTTCATTTCTTATAATTACTTTCACTTTTCTTTCTTTCCTTCCTTATCTTATACATACTTTCCCTTTCCTTGCTTTCATTTCATTTCCTATCATTACTTAACTTTCTTTCATTTCAATGTCTAATAATTTAATTTTTATTTAAGCCGGCGCTTAATTTAAACCGGATTTTGGCGGATTTAAACCGCGGATCAAATTCTTTAAATTCCATCTCTGGTCTCATATTAATCAAACTCAAGTTCAATATGTGTCCCATGGTTAAACAATAAATTCTGATCCCTTTCCACCAATTACTACTTAATTACATACAGATGCCCTCGACGTTGCCCGTGGAAATCGTCCAATAACTGGCAGTTTGGCCGGCTATAGGTAAGACAATAACACACACACATGTATATATGTACAATTTCTACGCTACAATGCAAGGGTAGCGTTTTTATAAGGTAGCGTTTTTATAGGGTAGCGTTTTGTAGTGTAGCGTTTTTATAGGGTAGCGTTTTTATAGATACACCATCTGAATTTACCTTTTCAAAAATCGGAAGAAAGTAAAGTAATGATTAGAAATGGAAGATAAGGGAATTTCAATTTTAATAGTGATGCGATAAGTTCATATAAACGATAAAGATGAAAATGAATGTTTAATACTTGAAATAATAGCAAAGTAGTAAAGACCTGGAAACTAAAAAGGTAGAAAAGGAAAAGGAGAAAGGGAAAGGAATGTTAATGCTTTAAAGGGAAAGGAATGTTATTGCTTTAAAGGGAAAGGGAAGTAAGGTTGGAGGATGGAGAAAAGGAGCGTGGACTTTTTTCTTTTAAAATTATTTTTCTTCATTTTTTGGGAGTAATTTATTGATAACGTATTGATAAAAGGGCTTATATAGATATATAAATTTGTACAAAACAAACATGCCTAGCATGTAACAGAACCGAATATTCATGCATTAAAAGCTATTTTAGGTTATATTATACATGAGTAAATATAAAAACTTAGGTATAACATATCCCAACGGATCTTTCAAACAGCATATCGACACATGAGTCATATGACCTAATTGTCTCAATATCCCTTCGCGTAATATTCACAAGAATAGCGCAAAATATGATTTTCAGGTGTATAACTTATCTGCACAAAATATTCAACAAAAGTTTGTATTGGTATATGAAAAAAATATATGTTTGTAATGCTTAGTTTTTGATAAATATCATGGTAACATTTTCTTTGATTTTATAATAGGTATTTTTTTACTAGATCAAATGTTCCTGAAATTGAAAAATTCCTTAAATTTTAAATACTGTCCATGAAACTAGAACTTATGTTTTATGTAGAACTGTTCCCGAATTATTTGTTTAGTATGTGTTTGCTTTGTGTGATACATGGTATTCTATGATATTTTTCCCCTTCCGCCCTTCTCAAGGTCGAGAATTCTTTTTAATAAGAAATCAGATGTTACTCCCTTTGAATACAAAGAAGCTGAAGTTTTAGCTCCTAAAACCTGATTTAAACTCACTAATCTCGGCTTAAGTAGAGAAAATAGTGAGTGTAAGTTTGGAATATAAAAGGCGGTATGAACTTCAAGAAACGCCCTTTAGCAATCCTTGTTCTGCTCCACCCACCCCCCTTGGTAATCAGTTTTGTCAGTTAAACTAACTATACATTTATACTAGCTGTACATTTGTATACATGCATAAATGCATGACGACCCATCATGTCTTGGTCTTGTTCTACCCTAGTTCTTGTTCTTGGTCTTGTTCTACCCTAGTTCTTGTTCTTGGTCTTGTTCAACCCTAGTTCTTGTTCTTGGTCTTGTTCAACCCTAGTTCATGTTCTTGGTCTTGTTCTACCCTAGTTCTTGTTCTTGGAAGTGTAAAGACAAGATCAAAAGATTTTAAAAAAAAGAAAATATAACTGAAGAGAAAAACGTGATCACTCAACAAATGTCAGATTTACTCTCCACTAAACCCTTATAACTATACCAGTTTCATTTTCGATTTTGATATAAAGCAGTTTTTAGCTCCTTTATATGAATAATACTTTTATGGTTGATACTAATTTTATCTCTAATCCGCAGATAGTCTAATCTTCATTTGATAAGTGTCTTAAATTCAACTAATCAGAGTGTCGTTTGTAGAAACCGAACTCCCAATCAGAAGCCGGGAAAGTTTGCACTCAACCAATGAGAGAACAATTTACTAACTTTCCCGCACTCTCGTTGATCGAAACTGCAATTAGGAAGCTCCAAAAAAGAGAGGATTAACTAGAAAAGTGAATATTCGGATTAAGTGATCGGAATTAAAGGTATCTGCAATTCGGAAGTTTTCAGCTCTGAAGTCTGAACATTTGTGTCGTGTACTGTATCTCAGGATCAAACATTGAGTTCCATTGATCTCTAAATTAGATATCAAGAAGCTTAGCGTTCAAGATTGACGATAATCTTCTCAAAAGGTTCGGCCTCTGAAGCTTTCTGCAGCCCCGATGATTGTAATATTTTACTTTAATATATAATTTTCTTGTATAAATATTTGAATTCTGTAAAATTTGTACAGTGAATAATTGACTTAATTTGTTTCTCATCTATTAAAACAAAATCTTCATAATACAAAATTGAACTTATTAACATTTTTTTATATAGAACATGCTATGACAGCATTCCTTATATCTTTGCAGCCCAATGTCTTAGACCTAAGATATTTCAAACTATGAATTCTGTTGGATCAAACAATTTAATTAAGTTTGAATATTAAAGGTTTACAACATCAAGCTAAATTTTAGGGATTCTCTAAGAAATTATTAGTGTAATTTTTATCTAAAGAATTATCCAAGGGATAAATGAATGAATAGATGAATTGCTCAATACCCAGCTTATGAATAGAGGCATGAATGTATTGTACCGAATAAGGCAGTATGCCTGAAAGCTTGTAAACTGCCAGAAATAAGTTGACTAAGGTGCACGTGCAGGGTAAATCGAAAATCTTAAGAATTTTATATCGCTTGTCTGTCAATATATGTTAATATAGATATTCTGTATTCAGTGTTGGAAAAGAGTTAAAAAACATTCCTCAAAATAAGAAAAAAGTGTATGAAAGACTTTTTATTTGAGGATTTTGGAATACATACATGATATAATAAAAAAGTAAACTGACAAGAACTCCACTGTTATCTGGTTCTCCCTGTATGGCATATGTATTATTATGTCGAATATTGTATATATTGTATAAGGCAACATGGAATTTTCTGAGAAATTCTTTTTTTTACTTTTGGTGTAGTGCAATGTACATAACCATAGAGTTTGATTTTATCCGGAGAATTGTGTATAAAAAAATACTTGAGAATACCCAATTGCTTTTTACACACCTATCAAAATCATTTTTCTATATAGATTTAGAATTCATATTCTGCAGGCAGGCTGTGTGTTCATCGTCTAACAATATTATCAGTCCTCAACTCAAACAATTAATTTAAAATGTAAAAACTAAACTTTATTTAGAGAATAAGCATGAAAAGAATAAATGTATTTGGTTATATTATTTTGTTCTTCTGAATATTATTAGCTCTTTAAAGATATAGCTTGAATTTCAACTAAATCAAACTGTATTTGTGTAGATATTTAAACACTCCAATAAGTCAACTCTTGGATTGGATAAAAATAAATTTAGCTAAGGATAGATACTGATAATCAAATGTGATGCTAAATATATGGTAAAAGTAAATTCCAGCGATCTAAAAAAAAGCCCTCAAAAGTTCATAGCTCTTTGGTCGGTCCCCCCCCCCTGATATTTAAATAATGAAAATATATATGGAATATGAATACAAGTTTTGTCTGGATACTGTTATTCTACACATACAGAAAAAACGAGAAACCGAGATAAAGAATGCGAGAATGGTTGAAGTGCATAAACGTGAAGGTGNGGTTGTATGCAAAATATACATTAGGTCTTGAATCGTGCAGGAGAAAATGCGTAGTTCTTTAGACAGTAATACATCATACAAAACTCTACCAGTCAATTGTTTTTGCTCTTAATCTCATTCTTGCTCTTGTTCTTGTTTTTCTCTAATTCTTGTTCTACCCTAGTTCTTGTTCTTGGGCTTGTGCTACCCTACTTCTTGTTCTTGGTCTTGTTCTACTCTAGTTCTTGTTCTTGCTCTACCCTAGTTTTTGTTCTACCCTAGTTCATATTCTTGGTCTTGTTCAACCTTAGTTCATGTCTTGGTCTTGTTCTACCCTAGGTCTTGCTCTTGGTCTTGTTCTACTCTAGGTCTTGTTCTTGGTTTTTCAACCCTAGTTCTTGTTCTCGTTCAACCCTAATTCTTGTTTTTGGTCTTATTCTACCCTATTTCATGTTCTTGGTTTTGTTCAACCATAGTTCTTGTTCTTGGTCTTGTTCAACCATAGTTCATGTTCTTGGTCTTGTTCTACCCTCGTTCATGTTCTTGGCCTTGTTCTTCCCTAGTTCTTGTTCTTGGTCTTGTTCTACCATAGTTCATGTTCTTGGTCTTGTTCTACCCTAGTTCATGTTCTTGGCCTTGTTCTTCCCTAGTTCTTGTTCTTGGAGTTGTTCTACTCTAGTTCTTGGTCTTGTTCTACCATAGTTCATGTTCTTGGTCTTGTTCTACCCTAGTTCATGTTCTTGGCCTTGTTCTTCCCTAGTTCTTGTTCTTGGAGTTGTTCTACTCTAGTTTATGTTCTTGGTCTTGTTCTACCCTAGTTTATGTTCTTGGTCTTGTTCAACCCTAGTTCTTGTAATTGGTCTTTTTCTACCCTGGTTTATGTTCTTGGTCTTTTTTTACCCTAGAGTTCTTGTTCTTGGTCTTGTTCAACCCTAGTTCTTGTAATTGGTCTTTTTCTACCCTAGTTCATGGCCTTGGTCTTGTTTTACCCTAGTTCTTGTTCTTGGTCTTGTTCAACCCTAGTTCTTGTTCTTGGTCTTGTTCAACCCTAGTTCATGTTCTTGGTCTTGTTCAACCCTAGTTCTTGTTCTTGGTCTTGTTTTACCCTAGTTCATAGTTCTTATTCTTGGTCTTGTTTTACCCTAGTTCTTGTACTTGGTCTTGTTCTACCATAGTTTATGTCATTTGTCTTGTTTTACACTAGTTCTTGTTCTTGGTCTTGTTCAGCCCTAGTTCTTGTTCTTGATCTTGTTTTACTCTAGTTCTTGTTCTTGGTCTTGTTCTACCCTAGTTTATGTCATTGGTCTAGTTCTACTCTAGTTTTGTATATATTATATAATCTATTCTATGAAACATAAAAAATTTTTAACCAAAACATATTTTTGCTTTTAAATTAATTGTCTTCTGATTTCTTTTAATCCCAGCTTTCTTAACCACTTCACTTGTGCACCATTCTCAGCGGTTCAACCATGGCTCGCTATTCATAAAATCTGGTTTCAGAACTGATTTCAATCGGTTTAAATAAGTTATTTTAATCTAATCCTCTCTAACTAGTTAATAATTCATAGGTTCGAGAAAGAACAGCTGAAACAGTTTGTTTTACAATTTGTACCACTGAAATAATTTAGATTTATCAAAATCATCAAAAATGTGAAACTTTGGTTTACAAATTTGCACGCATCTAACTACTCAGCGGGGAATTATGCAAAAAGATAATACTCCCAAGTTCTTGTTGTTGCATGTCAAATATGTTTAGAAAAACATGAATAGATAACTTATTCAAACTTATTCAAACTATTGGTTCCAAGCTTACATTGATAAAAAGATGAGTGCAGATAAATATATTCATTCAAGCCAGGACAGGATGTGAACCATGCAGTGTTCCGTCATTTTTTACTTAACTCTAAGAAGGGGGGGGGGACGCGAGGGCTTAAGTTATTTTGAGATTTCGCTTTAATTTTTAAAACTAAAATCTCGAAGCTTATTGATTTTAAAGAAAGTATGTTGTCAAAAGTACTTTTCTGATGTGTTTTTTTAATATGAGTAGTTCAAAAACATTCAGTAAGACCGGTGCAGGGTGCTTCGGGAAAACCAACCTAATTTACATTTTTCAAAAGCTCCCTTTAAAAAGATGTCAGCTTAAAATGCTTTATGATTGTCAAAAATGTAAAAAATAAATTAAAGTTTTCAATAGATACAGAAATTTTTAAGTTTAAAAATTTGTCCTTTACATATGTTTTCCACCAAGCTAACTGCAATTTGACTTCAAAGTTCTTTTCAATGGAGTGTGGAGGGGGGGGGGGGGCAATGAAACCCCGCCCCTTTCTCCGGGCCTAATGTAAAAAAGAAATTTTTTTCATTAAACTTTATTCTAATAAAAGATTATAAATGTGTGTTCCAATAAGATGTTTTTATTCTAATATAAGATTATAAATGTGCGTTCCAATAAGATGTTAGTTGAATTCTTGGTTTAGATATCCCAGCACTAAACCATATATTGTCTCAATGGTGTCCAAGGATAGATGAGGAGAGGATTCAACTCGTGAGGCTCGTTTTAGAACAGCATCAAGCCATAGCAAACACCACTCAACTAGTTCCTAATCATAGAAGAGTCATTTTAATTCCGAAACAAGCTCTGATTAACTAAACCTGCAATATCAACAAAATGTAATAGATGACCTTATATATTTCAAACTATGAATTATGTTTAATCAAATAATCTTAGTTTAAAATAAAGATATAGAAATTCGAATAAAATTGTGATAATCAAAAAATGATACATTTGTTTAGATCCAATGATAATTTACGGCCCGGGGGCCTCAATACAAGTTTTGTTTTTATTCTGATCGAGAATGAAGGAAGGTTGAAAGTCCTACCTCTTGGTCCATTTCTTCAACTTGATAAGAATACCGAGGTATAGAGTTTCCCCTTTCAATCGTTTTCTCAAGGAGAACAGAACTGGACCCTCGGCTCATACTGATGGAGTACTTTTCTTGTCCTTCATTCTTCTCAGAGCTTATTCGAGCTGTAAATATTTCATTTCTTAAAGAAATATCTGCGCTAACTGTGGAACCAATAAATCTAAGTTGGTCTCTCCTGGACATTTTGAAAAGAAATCATGTTCGTGGATTTTTTACTTTAAACTTGTGAATTTTCTGTGCAGTTAAAAGGGAATAAAATTATAAATATGAATTCAATTGTTTAATTGTGTATATCGACATACATACATATGGTATTTAATTTCTTTACGTGTAAATTAAGGGGGGGGGCAGGGAGTCGGACACTTTAACGATTAATGAATATACATACAAAATATATACAACATACACATATGTTATTCCTAAATTTTGTTGTATACGTATTGTATAAACAAAAATATCTCCAAGCCGCTGTCATCTCAAAATATCCGTGACCCATCAGCCCCTGCCCCACCCCTCTGTAACTTGATCTTTAAGAATTTGACCCTAGGGTCTTGAGATCCCATCTCTCCCCCTGGGAACCCATCTATAGTAAACCTAAGTCATTCTTACATTCATTCATATCCTTCATGTGCGTTGTATATACTGAGAAGGTTCTAATCATAGATTACACAGATAAGGCAAGAAGCTTTTATTTGGTGCCCTTTACGTACAATAAATACAAATAAGATTTCCATATATAATATATATATGATAATCAGCAATAAACTATACAAAATAAACAATAGAAAATGTTCTGAACTTATTTTAAGAAGATATATATATATAAAGATTGAGGATGAAATTGTACATACAAATTAACATCTAGTTACAAAAAAAATGGTTGATTTTGTTAAGGAAATTTTAACTATGTAAAAATCTGAAATTTTAATCAACAACTTCTTTTATACATAGTATAGGAATTTTCCAAAAACTTTCAGCATTAGGTTAATTGAATATTTGTACATGTCATTGTAATGTTGATTTCGTTATATAGCGTTTCAAATCTAGTACATACAGTGGTTTTGATATTTTTACATTTGAATATATTCTTTAATTCACAATTCTGAAAAGCAATATGCTTTACTGAAAGAAACCCGCGTGTTTAGTTATTTTGTTCTCAAACAGAAAAAGAAAAGAAAAAGAAAAGAAAAAGACAAAAAGTTAACTTTTCCGAATAAAAAATTTTCCAAACAAAGAAACAAAACATTTTCCGTAAAATCTAAATTCGATTAAATATATCTTTGCAACCTGTTGTCTAACTAAACTTTTTGTATTTCACACAGGCAAAGTATGAAATATTGAAAAGAAATAGGGATTGGAAAGAAATTCTTTGAGGCAAGTAATCATTTCTTTCACAACAATTTTTCAGATTCTTTCAGAGTTCATTTTTGAAGAAATCGAAGGTTGCGATGTATTGTTAAATGTGCCAAAAGCCGGCTATATTCGGGGATTATTGAGTAGGGTTGGGGGACGGGGTGAATAGATGAATTGCTCAATANCAACAGTAGGTTATAAATCTCCTTGCCTTCCAGCAGTGTTGGATATGAATCTCCCTGCCTTCCAACAGTAGGTTATAAATCTCCTTGCCTTCCAGCAGTGTTGGATATGAATCTCCCTGCCTTCCAACAGTAGGTTATAAATCTCCTTGCCTTCCAGCAGTGTTGGATATGAATCTCCCTGCCTTCCAACAGTAGGTTATAAATCTCCTTGCCTTCCAGCAGTGTTGGATATGAATCTCCCTGCCTTCCAACAGTAGGTTATAAATCTCCTTGCCTTCCAGCAGTGTTGGATATGAATCTCCCTGCCTTCCAACAGTAGGTTATAAATCTCCTTGCCTTCCAGCAGTGTTGGATATGAATCTCCCTGCCTTCCAACAGTAGGTTATAAATCTCCTTGCCTTCCAGCAGTGTTGGATATGAATCTCCCTGCCTTCCAACAGTAGGTTATAAATCTCCTTGCCTTCCAGCAGTGTTGGATATGAATCTCCCTGCCTTCCAACAGTAGGTTATAAATCTCCTTGCCTTCCAGCAGTGTTGGATATGAATCTCCCTGCCTTCCAACAGTAGGTTATAAATCTCCTTGCCTTCCAGCAGTGTTGGATATGAATCTCCCTGCCTTCCAACAGTAGGTTATAAATCTCCTTGCCTTCCAGCAGTGTTGGATATGAATCTCCCTGCCTTCCAACAGTAGGTTATAAATCTCCTTGCCTTCCAGCAGTGTTGGATATGAATCTCCCTGCCTTCCAACAGTAGGTTATAAATCTCCTTGCCTTCCAGCAGTGTTGGATATGAATCTCCCTGCCTTCCAACAGTAGGTTATAAATCTCCTTGCCTTCCAGCAGTGTTGGATATGAATCTCCCTGCCTTCCAACAGTAGGTTATAAATCTCCTTGCCTTCCAGCAGTGTTGGATATGAATCTCCCTGCCTTCCAACAGTAGGTTATAAATCTCCTTGCCTTCCAGCAGTGTTGGATATGAATCTCCCTGCCTTCCAACAGTAGGTTATAAATCTCCTTGCCTTCCAGCAGTGTTGGATATGAATCTCCCTGCCTTCCAACAGTAGGTTATAAATCTCCTTGCCTTCCAGCAGTGTTGGATATGAATCTCCCTGCCTTCCAACAGTAGGTTATAAATCTCCTTGCCTTCCAGCAGTGTTGGATATGAATCTCCCTGCCTTCCAACAGTAGGTTATAAATCTCCTTGCCTTCCAGCAGTGTGGGTTATGAATCTCCCAGCCTTCCAGCAGTATGGGTTTTAAATCCCCGCCTCCCAGCAGTATGGGATATAAATCTTCTTGCCTCCCAGCAGTATGGGATATAAATCTTCTTGCCTCCCAGCAGTATGGGATATGAATCCCCTGCCTCCAAGTAGTACGGGTTATGAATCCCCTGCCTCCCAGCAGTATGGGTTATAAATCTCCCTGCCTCCCAGCATCATGGTTTATAAATACCCTGCCTCCCAGCAGTATTGGATATGAATCTTCTTGCCTCCCAGCAGTACAGGTTATGAATCTCCCTGCCTCCCAGCAGTATGGGTTATAAATCTCCCTGCCTCCCAGCAGTATGGGTTATAAATCTTCTTGTATTCCAGCAGTACGGGTTATGAATCTCCTGCCTCCCAGAAGTATACATTGTGAATCTCCCTGCCTCCCAGCAGCATGGATAATGAACCCCCTACCTCCCAGCAGTATGAGATATGAACCCCACAGCCTCCCAGCAGTATGGGTTATGAACCCCATTGCCTCCCAGTAGTATGGGTTATGAACCCGACTGCCTCCCAGAAGTGTGGGTTATGAACCCCTAAGTCCCGCAGTATGGGTTATAAACTTCCCTGCCTCCCAGTAGTATGGGTTATGAATTTCCCTGGCTCACAGGAGTGTGGGTTATGAACCTCCCTGCCTCCCAGAGGTATGGGTTATGAATCTCCCTGCCTCCTAGTAGTATGGGCTATGAATCTCCATGCCTCCCAGTAGTATGTGCTATGAATGTCCCTACCTTCCAGTAGTATGGGTTATGAATCTCCCTGCCTTCCAGTAGTATGGGTTATGGATAACCCTGCCTCGACCAGCAGATGTGGTGAAAATCTAGATTTCTCCAAGTCTATTATAGATAACCTAGTTATACTTCAGACTATATAATTGAACGCTTGTCAATCAATCAATCTGCAGTCTATCTATCTTTCGATCAGTCTATCTATCTATCTATCTATCTATCTATCTACAATATATCTAATATCTACAGGGAGAGTCAAAAAAAGGGTGAATAGCAAGATCTTGCATATAATAAAGCAGTTTTTGGTAATCTCATTTTAAAAAATATGTATGAAATTTCAAAAACAATTTTTTTATAGGCAATCTGATAGACCCTTTAAAAAATCCGCGAAACTATTTTTTACTTAAAACTAAACGAGTAGGAAACCAAAAGTGCGGGAATATATTTTTTCTATCACACCTTAAAATCTTAAACAGATTAGTAGTTTCGAAGAAAATGAGCGAAATTAAAATAAGAAAATCCGCAATTTTATTTTTTTAAATCATGTTTTGATGATTTTTATTCTTTTTAAATTCTTTTTATAGTGTGAATTTTTAGATAGGTAAAATATCTAAATTATAAAATTAGGAAAATACGCATACAAAAGTGTATTATTAAAATATGTTGATTTCTGTATTTAATTTCGTGCATTTTCTTCAAAACTGCTCATCTGATTTATTTTAGATTTTAAGGTAAGATAGAAATAACATACTCCTGCTCTTTTGTTTTTCTACGCATCTAATTTTGAGTAAAAAATAGTTTTGTGGATTTTTTTTAAAGGATCTATCATATTGCCTATCAACAATTTTTTGTTGAAATTTCCTACATATTTTTTTAAAATCAGATTACCAAAAAAACTGCTTTATTATATGCAAGATCTCGCTTTTCACCGATTTCTTTTACTCACCCTGTATCTATTTATCTATCTATTTTTAATATGTATTGTATAATCTTTATGCCAGTCAATCTTGAACTGAATGAAATCCTGCCATCCCAAAAAGGTACTATAAATAGTCGTACTAGTTCTTTACCTATTATCCTTAACAAATCCTAATTATTGAACTTACAGAACCCTTTCTCTCCGTCAACGTATTGAAATCTCGAACGTATTTAAATACCCCTGTCAATTAGCCTATTATATTGATCCCTTGCCCTCAACTATTATTGAAATACCCCTGTAAATTAGCCTATTATATTAATATACCCATTCCCCTCAACGTATTATTGAAATACCCCTGTCAATTAGCCTATTATTGAAACCCCTTCCCCCCAACCTATTACTAAAATCCCCCTCCCTCCCTCTTAACCAACTGAAATCCCCCTCCCCCTATAACGTATTATTGAAACACTCCTCCCTCTTCTTCAATTATGCCTGACTCCTCAAGCACTGTTCCTGGCTTGAGCACAATGCTTGTTTGATTACTGCCTTATTACTGACAGACTATTGATTGTTCAAAGATAATGATAAACCTTTATGATATCTCTAAGTTGTAGTGTGTAGAGTGTAGTCTGTATTAGAGATGTCCACGTTTTGATTTTTCTAGATTTTAGCTTTCGTTACGATAGTGTTCATCAAAAGTATAAACGTTTGAAACGTTACGTTGCACATTATGAAATTTTATAGCATAGAGTAACGTTA